TTTTTTTTTTTTTTTTTTATGTAATATAACTTGTTTTCCCTATAGGGAGGAGGTTCCCTTCTAGATTGCTAGGTAGGGCTGTTAGCCATGGGCCACATTGAGGTTGGGGTCTTGGTTGTTCATTTAATTCATCAGCTGTCGCCACTATTTTCTGGGGCTCTTTCTAGTCCACTCTTAAATGCCTCAAGCAATGGAGCTCCCACCATGTCCTGGAGGCAACTATTCTACCGTCTCGTACATCTCGCTCTCAAAAAGCATTTCCTACATTTTCCTGTTCTTAATTGTTTCTCACCCCCTCCTGATTAGATTCTTCACCCTCCAAGCTAAGTCGTCATTGCAGGTACCCAAGCCAGATGCAACTCTTCTGAACTTCCCTTGCATGTCAGGTATCCTGGCCCCTTAACAACAATTTCTGTTGTTCCTCGAGTAACTTCCCAGGTGCTGCTACTTGGGTGCTCTGTGCTTGGAGATGGTGTTCTGGTACCCCTGCACCCCAGCCCTGCAAAAGGGCAATTGCATGAAGACCGAGGAAGTCCAATTAACTTTCAACTGTTTTATTAACATACTTCAAGGATCCCAGGTTAACCCAAGGTAGAGGACCAAGAATTTAGGATATCTACTCTAATCCCCAAATCCAGTTTTGGGGATTAAGGAGGAAGCAAGGTGTGAATTTCGGGCTTTTCTTGCCTGGTATGTTGACGCCATCAGTGGCTTTGGATGTATTCAGTCCACTAAATAAGAAGGATAAAGTGTGTGGAGGGAGAAGAAACGCTGTTCCCCACAACCAAATTACTGTGGAAACTCACTTATATAGGTGTGTGCACTTATCTGGCCTATGCCTGTGTGTACAGATCCCTTAAAAAAGACAAAACAGGCAGCATCACAGAGGAAAAGCTTCCAAATAGCTATTGCCTAAGCAAGGCAAGACTTTCCTGCAGACAGTACAAACAAAGGGAAGGGAAAAGGAGCTGTTCTAGCTATGTATGCAGGCTGCTGAGATTGTTTTCAAAGCTGCCTAAGACATGTTGCTACCTCAACGTTAATAGAAACCGAGTACTCGAACACCACAGGTGCTATTCTACCAGCAGAAGACAGGCCGAAACAAAGAAAACTTTGGCTGAAATAAAAAAGCCTTCCCCTCGGGTGTATCTTCAAATACAAGAGCACCTATATACATTAGCAGGGTTGTTGCTAATATTACTATGGTGCCCTTTGTTTTAACTTGCCTCCTATGTATCAATAAAAGGATCCTCTTTAATATTGGAGGGGGGGGAATTATTTCCTCCAAAGTCCAGGCAGGGTATCCCAGGCAGGTATTTAGTCTGAATTGTTCTGCAACTGGCCTCTGATCTGGAAGGCCTTCATAATTGGGGTCCCTGTTGGCCTGATTTTGTGAGAGCCTACAGGTCTGAGTAAGCTCCGGGCTCAAAATCAGGCCCAATGCCTCAAATTGGGTCTCCTAAATGGACCCCCCACAAGAAGTAAAGGCCACTTTTATCTTAAGCAACTTGTTTCAGGACTTCCCAGTCTCTCTGGAAGAGGCGTTTCAATGATCTTCTTCCCTCCTACGCATCCCTGAAGGACTTGGGTTTGTTTTTTTTTCCTTTTCACTTAAAAGCTAACATTTGAAAAGCACGGAGGAGTTGGTATTCACTGAGCAGCATTAGCATAAACTGAACAGCCCAGCAAACTGTCAGTCTGCAGAAAACTTGGAGCAAAGGAAAAAAAAAAACCCCTTGGTTCCCGTCTCCTCTCGTTTGGAGGTGTATGGAAAAGGTGCGTGCGACTGTACAGGTCTGGGCAGAAGTGTGCAATGATGAGAGACAGAAAGTGTGTCATGGGAACTGCGTGCGTACAGTGAGCATGTGTGGATTTGGCGTGCGTGTGAATGCCTGGCACTGGTTGTGTGTGTGTATGACTAATAAGTTTGTGCTGCCGAATATGGCACTTGTGACTGTATAACACGTATGTTTGGCATGCATGTGTGATGTGTTGCTATCTGCCCGTGCATACAGTGCCTGAAAGTACCTTGGTGTGCGTGCTTTGTCCTTGGAGGAGCAGGCGATACATCTTTATCTGTGTCAGTCTGACACTGACTGAGCGTGAAGGGTGCTTTATATGAAGATTGCGAATGTCACACGTGGTGCCTGAGTGGCCACGACGGTGAGTGTGCAGCGTGTCTGGCCGAGCTCGCCTGTCTGTCTGCAGGGTGTCAAGGTGACTTGTGCAGGGTCAGGGAGTCAGCCTTGCCATTGTGCTAACCCCATCCCAAGTCATTAACCTCTCAGGCAGCTGCAGATGTCAGTCCTCTCCCTTCCAAACCCCTGGCCTCGTCTGATTTGGGGTGTTAAACATGATTAAATTAAAATGTGATTTGCTCTGTCACTCACCAACTGACAAGGACAAAAATAAAGAAAAGACACGAGCCTTTGCCCCGGCCCTGCCACCTCCCAGCCAATTAGCTCCGTGCCTCAAAGCCTGTGCTTGCTCTTTTGTTTCTGCTGGTTGGGCTGTGACAGTCTTTTGGGATGGGGGGGATGGAGGCTGCACAGGCGGCTCCAAGCTGCTCTGGTATCAGTCGGACTTCATTACCAATGCATTACGTGTCAAAGCTGCGCTGGGGGACACAAAGAAGGGCCTGGCCAGAAAGCTGGCGCTTTGTCATGCAAACAGGGCTGGGTGTGCAAGATAGGGTGGAAACTCATGTTAAAGGGCCAAGGGGTCCCCAGGATAACAGCATGGTACTGTACGGAGCACGGGGGGATTACAGCATTGCCATGGGGCAGAGGGATCGGGGGCGAGGGCCAACTGAGTGCTGGCATAAGGTAGCCCTACTGATTTCAATGGAGAATTCATCTTACACCAGGGATGCTCCTGGCCCCAGGGTATCAGTGTGTGTGTCTGAGCAGCAGGGCAAGCTGGTTATTAAATGGGAGAGAGCTCAAAGGCAGGTAGCCATGTCTGCATCTGGCTAGACACCCTTAACAGGATTTTGAGGGCCTGTTAACCAAATCAATTGAGGTGGAATGATAATGGCCCATATGTGGGACTTGTTACAAGGTCCCTGAAAACCTCACTGCTCATTTCCCTGTGTCTCTGTGTGATGAGAGCCCCAGGGCTCACCATGCAAGGACCTGAACAAACAGAGTGCCTCCCCTGAAGGAAATAAATGGAAAAGCCGGACAAAGGGTGACGGAAACAGGCGTTAGCTGGTCCTGTTTCACAAGCCCAAATACCTAGGGGTCCGACTAACTGGGACCGCCAGGCTCAACAACATTGAGGGACCAAATTCCAAGGGGACTTAGACAGCTCAGGGTCCTTTGAGACCCTGACCCTAAGCGACTTGCCCAAGGTCACACACCGAGTCCGTCACAGAGCCAGGAACTGAACTCGGATCCCTGCTACCTAGCGAGTGCCTGAACTGCAAGGCCAGGCTTCCCTTCTTATGGCTCCCGGGTACCGAGAGCACCTGAGGATGACGGGCAGTTTCCGAGGAGCCGCTGCGCTTTGGTGCTTTGCTCTGTCAAATGGAAAGACAGGGGGGTTTGTGATACCCAAACAGCCATTTCCCGCAGGGCCTGGGAGTCCTACTCCCGTCCTGCTCCTCTCCGGCTGTGTGGCCTTGAGGGTCAACTCTTCTGAACTTCCCTTTCCCAACAGGGCTAATGATGACGGGGGAGGGATTTGCAAGACCGCTTTCAAAGTGCTTTCAGATCTCCAGTGCAAGGGATCCCTGGTACATTTTTATATCTGTGTGAATAGCAAATAGCACAAATGGGCTGGAGTGTCTTAGTACAGGCACGGCGAGCTCGCCGGCCTCCGCGTTCAGTGTGAGCCCACGGGTCGGAGGGAAAGCGCGGGGAAGGACAATCGATTCCTGCCTTTGCAGGAAGAAAAGGGAAACTAAAGTGTGCTATGCAGGTGCTTCC